TTTTTTTTTTTTAAATAATGAAGTTAATAGTGTGTTTTCGAATCAAAGAACATTGTAAAGTCAATTCATATTTACACATTGTTCCTTTTAAAGAGCTGAAGTTTGAAATGAGAAAATCAGACAAAAATCCCTAACAATGACAAGTGTAATTACATTTGTATTAACACAGATAATGGTTCCAAAAAAAGGAAGAAAGGTGGACACAAATGGCCAGTATAGAGTTAAGCAAGTTTGTGTATTACGTTTTGTTTACCGTGTATGAGTTTTTGTGTACATCCCCGTTGACTGTGAGTGCTAACCTGGACTCGGTACAGCTACAAAAAGAGCTAAATGTCTTTGTATCATGTTCTATCTCTCATTGCACCCAGATTGTCAGAGGAGAAAGCGGCTGCGTTGCAACAATGTGAGGAAAGCATTGCAGAGAAGGCAGAGGAGACGACAAAAATCAAGCTGCAGCTCGAGGAAACTCAGCAAGAGCTCCTACTCGCCAAAAACCAGGTGCGCTTTGCAAGTGGGAATATACGTGTTTTGAGTTGTACAGCGCTTCACGTTCTCCTCATTTCACCTCCAAATGTTTCAGATCAGCTCGATGGACCAGTTGCTGAAGGCCCAGGAGCAGTTTGGAGCAGAGCTGCAGAAACAAAGCAAGAAGATGTCTGAGCGTGAGGACGAGTACAAAAGGATGGATGCGGAAAATACACAAAAGCTGCTACAGATGGAGGAGGAGCTTCGGGAGGCACGTGCCCAATTGGAAGAGAAGGAAAGGCTGCTTGGAGAAGAGCGGGCTCGGCTTTTGTCTTTGGAGAAACAAAATGAAGGCTTGGAAAAAGATGTTCAAGAGACGGTGAAAGAAACAGAGGTAAAGTCTTATCACATGTTGGGGAAAATTTTGTTTTTTCAATGCTTAGTACCATATGCTAATAAGTGTAACATTTCTCTTTGAAAGCTCCTCAAAGATACACACACGGAGAAGGTAAACAAGCTGCAGGAGCAAATATCTTACTTAGAGGAAGAAGTATCCGCAAGCAAAGATTCAGCTGAGAAACTTTCGTTGCTCAAACGTGAACTTGAGGTGATCAACCGCTCACACGCCGACCTCAAAAATCACGCGGATACCTTTGAGAAGACCCTCTCCTCCATGACCGAAGTCAAGACAAACTTGGAGAAGTCCCTAAGCGAGAGAGTAATTCTGAATTCTGCTTTGGAAAAAGAAGTAGCAGAGCTCAGGGAGAAGGTGAGCCAGCTGTCTGAGAGTCAAGCTCTGGAAGCGCAAAGTTTCCTCAACAAGGAAAAGAGCCTCCGAGAAGAGCGTGAAGCCGCAGAGAAAGCCCTCAATGCCATCAAAGCGGAGACGAGTAACGTCCGAGCAGAAGTAAAGACCATGAAGGTAACTTTGTCTGCAGCCTCACAAGGCTTGGAGGAAAGAGACACCAGCATAAAGAGTCTGAAGGAGAAGCTGAGCAGGGCAGAAGTAGAACATGCCAAGACGGCCGAGCTCCTGAAAGAGAAGATGCTTGCCATGAACAAAATCAAGGTTTGGTTCTTTGCAATCTCTCCTTATGATGTCTACCATCATGGTCTAATCTTGCAACAACACTTTTGTCCTCAAGGGGCT